ATGTAGAAGTCCGAGGGAGTTACGATGTGGCACACTACCGCGCTGAACTCCTCATTTAGCTTAGGGTACACCGGCAAGCAGTACCGCACAGACTTTTTTTCACAAATCAAGGTTTTTTCATTCCAAGGACCTGGAGAGTAAAATCTTTTAAAAAAAAACAACAAAACGAAAGAATGAGACATTGCAAAAAGGCTTTCAGGAAACTCTCAATCAGCAACCACAGATCACAAATTCACCTTTCTTGTGCCTTAAAGCATGATGCGAAAGACAACAGACCCGGCATCCTGGTGTTAAAAGCCAGGATCAGAAACTAAATGGAGAGGACAAACCTGACCAGGACTGATCGGACAAGCCGGGAGATGTGTATGTTTCAACCAGCAAGATAACGAGGAACACCAAAAATGACAAAAAAACCGTCGAGCTCTACAAAAAGTTTACAAGTGCAAGCCTTGCAATGAGCTCTCACTTAGAAAAAAACATGGACAGTCTACTGTCGAAAGGAGTAAACAAATACAGGAAGGACTTCCCAGGTGGTCAACACAAGACTGTCAAGCGTGGTTGTGTCTGGGTGCTCTCACCTTGCCAGCTCCATGAAGACAAGGTATTCTCTTAGGGAGATGGGCATGTCACTGACCAGTCTGTCCATTCGCGACTTCTGCAGGTCCACCAGCAGCGTGTCTCCGTCCTCTCCGAACACCTTCATCTCCACGGCCTTGCTCCCCACGACGCGCACGAACTCCCCCCGCGCCTCCCGCCTCCAGCCCTCCTGCTGGCATCGGGAACAAACGCGGACAGGACCCAGCCGTTACACCCCGGAAGGGCTCCTCACCTGAACATCCCCAGCGTGCCAAGAGGAAGGTCCGAAAAGCTTTTCCGCGGCGCCTTCGCGCCCGAGGAACACGAGAGGGTATCCGGTCCGCGCAAAGGGCCAGCCAGCACATCAGTGCCGTGCTTGCAAGAGCTCAGCGGTGCTGCACATCACAACCAAGCCACATCTGCCACCTTTACTATGAAACAGCCCTCGGCAAACACAGGCTTGCAGCCTCTTCTTCACCCAAACCTCATGCCAACTAAGTCAGGGGCAGGTCGGTGGGGAAGAGGCCCCACTCCTCTTCCTCATGGAAGGAGCAGTTTAGCATAACCCAACAAAACCCGTCTCGGACGTCTTTGGGAGGTGGGAGAACCCAGAGCTTGAGAAGCTCGAGAAGAGATTTTACTAAGTTTTTTTTTTAAGTCAGTCCCAAATGACATTTTCACAAAAGCCTTTCTCACAACATTTGACACCATGTAGTCTGACATACTAACAAATGCCTTTCGTTGTTCAGAAAACAAAATGAAACAAAGAGGATGGGGGGGATCACTGAGCAATATTTCATATTTTCAATCATAACACCCAAGGCCGTGAAAGGCGGTGGTCTTACCCAGTCATGTGGCACAATGCTCATCAGTGAACACTTCACTGCCAGCGAAGTCCACCTCCTCATTTCCGACTGAACAGCAAGATCAGGCTTTCTAATGCACTCATTTAAGTTGGCAACCTGAATGGAGCAATCATCTCCCACAGGGTAGTCTTCTGACCTAGAAATTTTTAATAAGTACTGTAGGTTAACAGGCTATCCCAAAGGTGTCCAATCCAGGTCCAAAATTTTAATTGGACGTATTTAATGGCTTCTCACAGTTCTTCAAGTACTGCTGCTTTAATTGGACCCAGAAACCCTATGCCAAGATTTGGCACCCCAGTCATGTTGAGCTTGTGTATGAACTGAAAGCTGACAACCATACAAGTAATTCCAAATTTATTTTTTCTTTCTTTATAATTACTTTGACACTGATAAAAGAAATGCTTGATACTGGAGTAAAACATTTTAACCTATCCAGTTCACTTCAGCTTATTGTCATATGCACAAGTGCAATGCATTTCAGGTGGGTGGCTGCGTCAGCACACATAAGCTACAAAGGAACAAGTAACAGGCTTATTCCTTCCTGAAAAGAGAAGAAAGAAAACACAATGTTTTTTTGGCTCCATGGCCAAAATGTTGTGTTTTCTTTCTTCTCTTTTCAGTGCAATGAAATGCTTATTTGCATGTGTGCTCCAATACAAAGACATTAAAGGAACCACCAAAAACAAACACAGAACAGCAGCAGCAGACACAACAACAAGTTAAATAACATACAACTTAAAAAAACCATCAGTCTGACCCAGTGGTGGGGGTAGAGTTCAGTAATCAGACAGCTTGTGGGAAGAAACGGTCTCTGAATCTGGAAGTTCATGTCTTTGAGCATAATGAGACGGACAAACAGATTATTGTGACATACTGCTAGCTACGTATAAACAAAATGCTACATTTTGGGGACACAAATAATTTCCTACAACAGGTCCAGTAACCATAACATAACCTCTGGATACTTTCAAAAATAAAATTCTAACCCGTTTTGCATTTTGATACGTTTAACGATCGTCAACATTAAGACATTCAAAAACTAAAGCAACTTTTCACTTTTCAACTTTTCACAAATTTTAATGAGATTATGTTTCAGGAACGTAAAAGGTTAGAAACCGTCGTCTCGCACCTCGCAAGAGAGATCTCCTCGGTGTTGCCAAAGTCAGTGAAATACACCTGGAGTTTAGAGACGTGCGCCACGGCACACCTGGGCACGGACTGGCAGTCGCTGCACCTCTGAACCAGCTCGGTAATAGTGGCTCGGCTCCACTTCTCTTCTTGCAGCTTCACAAAAATCAGGGTCCCTAACGGGAAAAAAGACACCTCTCATTAAACTAACAGTAACCAAATATCACTTACACTATCCACTCTCCAAATTAAACAATGCATACAGTATATATATAATGCTCATAGATGCACTTTTAAAAGATTTTTTTTAACGTAATCAATCAATTGAAGCAAATCACTCCTATGATATAGTTATGCACAGAAAACACTTTAAAGAATGGGTGTATCAGTACACACAGGCAATAACACGAGGGGACTAACAGCCACTGACCCACTTCCAGAACGTCATCGGGATTCAGGAAGGTTTTCTCATCATCGCAAAACAATCGGATCTTTTTGGCTAAGCTGGCGGCGGCCTTGGTTTCTGCAACTCTTCTCACGTAGAAATGGCTGGGGTTTACCACATGGGTAACAAACACCCACTCCTGGAAAACTACAAAAGTGGAAGTTAGAAGATTTCCTGAAATCCAGATGCCCGGTGTTTGGCTATTTTTTTCTGTGCTGGGAACTTGCAGTTCAGTAAATTAATATTAGAATATGTATGGTATATAAACTGTTCAGCCAAGACATAAAAACATACACCTTTAAATGCGAGAAGACTGTGCCAGGACCAATCTTCTAAGGCTATATTTACCTCTCCTTGAAGTTAAAGGGGGACATGCTGCCAGTGCTTTCTTAGTTTTCTTTGGCATTGCCGACTTTTCGCTTGGAAACCTCACTCCAGTTCCTGGAGCAGCACATATACATTAGTTAAGTATTTAGAGCAGCTACGATCAAAGAAGGAAAAACCCAAGGATACCAAACACAATCCAACAGAACAGCCTTCATTTCTTCACCTAAGACACTGCTAATAAGACCAAAGCAGCACACCAGACAAGATTCAAATACCTGACGTGCTCCTGGATTGTAATTCTAACGCTCTGTTGAATTATGGGATTCATAACAGGTTGACTTGTAAAAAAAGAACAAAGACTACAATGTTGTCCGTTTAGTAAAAAATAACATTTACCTTCACTCTTACTTTAAAGCAAATCTATACTGACTTACAAACGGGCAGAATTACATGCTAGACTTCTCTTTTGAATATATGAATGTTCTGCACACATCCAGTGCCGATTCCCCATCTCTGACCATGAGGGCAAAAAAATACAAAAATGAACATTAAGAACCCACATCTTTGTGACTGCAAATCCAAGGATGATGTGCATCCACCGCTGGGATTTTGAAGAAAAATCCAGGGTTTTGCTCTTAAAAAAACACATATTCCTCCCACATTTTTTGCATTTCTTTTTTTTAAAAAAGTCTTTAAAAAACAATAAAAGCAAGCTTTTAATACATTATGGTACAACTTGCCTGATTCTGGAATCTCCGTGTTTTTGTAGGTCATCACATCTGAGCTGCCGAAAGACTCATGAGAAGGTGGTTCAGGCACCTCCATCCCACAGTCCTTCAGCTGTGACGGCGGTTCTTGGTTGCCGTGACGGGTCACAGAGAGCTTCATTTGCTTTTGGATGCTCAACTGTCTTGAATCCTCTGGCGCGACGCTAAAGATTTTCACACAGGACATAGTGA